GTATTGGTAGGAAGAATTGAACTCTTATGAGATAAACAGAAAGGAGTCCGATGGTAGGAATTCAGTGAGGAAATTGGGGAGAGCTTTACTAAACTTTGAAGTAGTTTTTTTTTTTTCAATAATTGATTGTTGGGGCTGGGGATTTGGCTCAGCGCTAGAATGCTTGCCTAGCAAGCTGGAACGCTAGGTTCAGTCCTTGGCACCAAAAGCAAAACAAAAACAAAATAATAATAATTTATGGTGAACATTTTCATGCATACAGAGAATAATAATTAATGGAATCTTTTGTTAAGGTTTTAATTCTGATGCAGTCTTGTTTATCAAAGCATACCCTGTCTAGCCACAGGTCATGAAGATGAGCCCCTGTTTTCATCTAGTTAGAAGCTTAAGACTTGAGCCTTTTTTTTTTTTTTTGAGCCTTTTTGTTTATGCACCAGTTTATCATTTCTTTTGTTAATCATATGAGATAGAGGCTGAGGCTAATTTTCTTTTAACAGGTCATATAGGTAAAATTTTATGAACTTTTACCTATTAGTCCTTTTAATATCTTCTATGAGTAACAAGTGGGAAAAAAGGATATTTAGCTTAAAGGACAATGCATTAAAGAGACAAGGTATAAGCAAATTCAAAGTGTATGCAACAGACAAAGACAAAGAAATTCAGGGGATAAACAATTAACCAACAAGCATAGCAAGCCTGGCATAGTGGTACACACATCCAATCCCAACCTGCAGGAGGCTGAGCCAGGAGGATCCCCATGAGCTGAGGCCAGCCTGGCATACACAAGCAAGTTCACAACTAACCTACATCATATAATAAGACTCTCTCTCTCTCTCTCTCTCTCTCTCTCTCTCCCCTCTCTCTCTATCCTCTCTCCCTTCTCCTTGTTCCCCTTTCCCCTTGCTCCCCGCCATCACACACACACACACACACACACACACACACACACACACACACATTTTTAAAACTATGGTAGTTTTGATTGCCTAAGCAAATCATAATCCAGGATCTATAAAACAAAAGCAAGCTTTTCACTCCATCCAGTTGTCTCCATGGGGGCCACCAAAATGATATAGGGATATATCATATAGGCCCTCCATGTAAAGGAAATATTATAACTCTCAACTGCTGAGTTCATGTTGCCCAAAATCAAAGAATAAATCCTAAGGAACGTGGAGGTTAAGATCAGGACGTATTTATTAGGGGGTAAGAAAGCTGTTGTCTAGGGCTGGAGTTGATAGCTCAGCAGGATAAGTGCCTGCCTGCCAAGTGTAAGGTCCCAAGTTTGATTCCTGGTACCAAAAAAAAGCTTCTCTCTGAGAGAGACAGAAGGGGGTCCCTGGAAGTGGGTTACCCTGAGGGTAATTTTTAAATAAGGTATTAAGGGGCCAGGGAGATGACTCAGTGGAATAAGTGCTTCCCTGGCAAGCACAAGGACCTGAGTACAAACCACAGTTCCAATAAATAAATAAATATATATATATATATAAAGTTAATCAAGTATCACTTTTATTTTCTCCAGGGACTTAAACATATCTTATTAAATTCCAGTCTCCTGGGCTCTATGTTTCAGTCCACTGGTTTCTAGTTCTATACTTCTGTCAAGACTACCTTATCTTGTTTAGGTTTGTAGTGAGTCTTAAAGTTGGGTAGTATAAGTCTTATAATTTTCATTCTTCAAGATTGCTTTGTTATATCTTTAATCTCTTTGATAGTTATGGACAGGCATCTTTATCCACTTCATTAATTTCAAAACACTGACTGCTACTTTTTGCCCAGAATCGATATATGGTAGATGGTGCCTCAGATGAGGGGTTGTGGGGCCTCAGTTACCAGTTGGCTTACTCTGCTTGAGCTACTGTAGCACATTACCATGGACTTAGGAATTTATAGATAATAAATTACACAGTACTTCATTATCCCTGCCTCTCTCTGAAGTAGTTCTGGAAGTCTTCTTTCATGAGTGTCTTCAGTTGTGCTGCTGTCCATTCAAGATATTTGTCTTTCATGGTCATTTGAGTTTGGGGGAGACTTTGGAATGAGCTGGAAGTCACATGGTGCTACATGTGGTGGTACAGCGGATGAAGACAAGATAATAGAAATTTATTTCTCATGATATTGGAGGATGGGAGTCTGAGATCAAGGCACTGCTAGGGTTGGTGTCTAGTCAAGACCATTTCCGCATAGATGGGTCTGTTTAGTATCTTCACATTGTGGTGAAGACAGGGGCCAGGGACCCACGTCCTACATGAAGCCTTTTTCAGAAAGGACTTACACGACTCATAGGGGCTCCAGTCCCGTGACTTACCCACTTCCTAAAGGACCTCCCCCCCGGCCAACACTGTCTCACTGCCGATACCTTCCAGCGCACAATTTTGGAGGCAGCATAAACTTTTATGGTCATGGCTCTTAAATGACCTTCGACAATCACAAAGACTCAAGCTTGAGAGATTTCATTAGGGAAATGGATGTCAGTTCCTTTACTAATATAACAGTATGGTGGAACTCTCTGGAAACCAACTTCCAGGTAGCTCTTTTAGCAGCAAGAATTGTGACAAGCCTGCCCTTGAACCAGCTTATGCATCAAGGGGTTGTGTTTTTATATAAAATGGTGCTTGGTTCAAATGATAGGCACCTTCCTCTGAGCACAAAATATTCTTAATTCTACTTAAAATACTACCTCCCTTCTCAAACACAGTATCTTGTTATCCTTACCTCTCTCTGAAGTAGTTCTGGAAGTCCTCTTTAATGAGTGTCTTCAGCCATGCTGCTGTCCATTCAAGATATTTGTCTTTCACGGTCATTGGAGTTTGGGGGAGACTTTGGGAATAGCCAGAAGTCACATGGTGCTGGCATATGGTGGTACAGCGGATGAAGACAAAGCATGTTTTCACTTGACAGAAACTGTTGTACGCTGGCTCCCACGGAAGGGCTTGCCTCCTTCAAAACCATTGCTCTGTACTCTCACTCCTGAGAATGAGGTGGGGGGAGTATAGGATTTCCTACCTGAGACATTGTCAAAACGCAGAATTTAGGGCCTTATCAAGACCTGCAAAGTAGAGTACATAACTTAACAGAAGAGCAGGAGATTCACACGTGCAGCCAGGTTTGAGGAGCACAGTCGATCCCTGGCAATTATGAATCTTGGGGGACTTAGAATGTGGTAGGGATTCGTGAATCGTTAGGGCTATGCTGTCCTGTGAAGCAGCTGCTAGTCATGGCTGCTGAGCACTTGAAGCTTGGCTAGTCCTAACAGAGATTCCGTGAGTTCAAAACGCATGCTGGATTCTGAAGACTAAAGAAAAGCAAACTCTCATTAATAATTTTGCAGGGCTGAGGGTATGGCATGGTTGTAGAGCATTTGCTTAGCATATGTGAGGCCCTGGATTCAATTTGCATCACAAAACAAAAACTAAATAGATGCGTGTTGACATAATAGTAAATAGATTTTACTGGATTAATAAAAGATACTATAACCTTCCACCTATTTTTAAAAAGTGGCTACTAGAAGTTGTAAAATGGCATATTTGGCTTACTTTATACTTCTGGTGGGCAGCACTGGCTGCTGGTCCCATGATAGTACTCAGTACCACCCAGAGGAGGAATTCTTTCCCTAGGGTGCTCTGGGGCATTGACTCCCATGTGCTGGGCTCGGACACTGGACACTATCCTGGGAGGACATTCCATGCTTTCATTTGCTTCTCAAGCAGGTAAATGAGTGCACAGGAGCTGAGGACCAGCCAGGGTTCTGGTCTCAGACAAGTGCTACTCACACTTGTCCTCTCCTGGGGTCTCGACATCTGTGTGCCTGCACATGTCAGACCTTAGTCCTCAAGGCAATGGTAGGAGGAGGGAACCTTGGAAGGTGAGTTGGGGACCCTTGTGAGGGGGACCAATGTCCTTATAAAAGAGGCCAGAGAAGGCTCCTTATCCACAGCCCAGGTGCTATGGTGGTTGGTAACAGAGCCAAGACCCACATTTCTGACTATTGATACCTTAATTTGTTTGGGATGCTAAAAAAAAACAAACTCCCATAGACTTGAATGGATTTAAAACAGACATTTGTCTCACAGTTCTAGAGTCAGGAAGAACAGGAGTAGGGCACTGGCAGAACTGGCCTGGTGAGGATGTACTTCCTGTTTTATTGAGAGCGCCTTCTGGCCAAGTCCTCACAATGGAGAAGGAGCTTTCTTTGGCCTCTTTTATAAGGACACTGGTCCCCCTCACAGGGGTCCCCAACTCACCCCTCAAGGTTCCCTCCTCATACCAGTGCCTTGAGGACTAAGGTCTGACATGTGCAGGGACACAGATGTCAAGACCCCAGTAGGTCCCTACCCTCTCCTGCTTAGGTGCCCCTTTCATTGAACAAGAAATGCTAACAGATGTTGGGAATAGCCAGGATATTGCAGAGAGCTTGGATTTGGAGGAGAGCTAGAGGTCTTGCTGCATGACCAATTGCTGTTTATAATTGACAGCTATTCAGGGCCCGTGGAGGTAGCTCAGTAGAATAAGGGTTTTTTGGCAAGCACCGGGTCCTGAATTCATTCCC